GAGAGAGAGAGAGAGAGAGAGAGAGAGAGAGAGAGAGAGAGAGAGAGAGAGAGAATTATATTTATATATGATAATTGTAAAAATATTAAATAAAAGTTTTAAGAGAAACGAACGCGCGAGAGATGACAATATTGTGCGATGAAATTTAATGACGTTGTAATTTAACGTGTTATTATAATAGATTCGCATAAATTTTCAATTGGATGTTCGATGAACAATTGTGTTTTGCCAAAGTTCCTTAGAGTTTCGAAACGAACGACGGGTAATTTATGAAAACGTTATTATTTAAATGGTTATTATGCGTTTTGCAGACTCGTGACGGTTCATTTTCTTTTATTTCCTTTTTTCTTTTGTTCTTTTATAAATGAAATTTTTAAATGTGTTAATTAAATTTTGGAATCGAATGTTATGTGCCTTTGTTCTATGCCAAATCTGTAACAGTTAATTGAAAATATTTCATTTTCATATGTAGTTAATTTCTTTTCTTTTTTTTTTTATTCTATTTATATTTATACAAAGAATAATAAATATATATTCTCAAAGTTGATCTAATTTAAATAAAATGATTTCTTCATTACAAGTATGTATTTCAACGTCAACGTAACCTAATTTCTTATCGCGTCTAGAATAAAAACAAAAAATGCTGTAATGGTAAAGTTATCTCGTATTGCTTATGGTAGCGTTAGATAAGAGACAATAATTATCAAAAATTTTCCAATATATCATTCTTATTAAATAAAAATTAAAATAAGAAAAAAAGATACACAAAAGTAAATACGCGCGAAATAGGTCAAAAAGTTTAGAATAAAAAAGATACAATTTCAACCCAACTCCCCCCCCCTTTTTTATTTTTAGTTTTCTATTACTTTATTTTGCATTTTATTTTTCGAAGCTCAAAACTTTTCAACCAATCTTCTCGTATCAAATACCACCGATACATAATTAATGAAAAATAACTTCTTAGGATGATTAAATTGTTTTAAATAAAAATTTTCGAAGTTTATCAATTAAATTGTTGAAGTAAATAACATTGTTTGCAATGCATATAAGTCGTCAGAAAAAAAGAAAATCGTTGCACTTGCCATCGAATTTCGTTTATTCGTCATAGCACACTGAAACGCGATGAAAAAAGTAAAAATAAATAAATAAAAAAGAAATGTGTAAATTTCTCTATCCCCACGTGTCAGAGTTTATATAGTCTTATCAAACAATTAACTTATGATAATTATATAAGATCAATAACAGCCAGTTGATCCCAAGTGCAACACCTGCTTTCAAGGATCGACATTAACATCTGCAATTCATAAACGAAACGTTTTCTAGAACATACAACGTATCAAAATGTGTTTATGACATTTCCTTATCACACATAATTTCATTTTTTTCTTTCTCCCTCTCGCGCACGCACACCCACACACACATATATATATATATATATATAGACGCGTATATATAAGTATGTAATATATAAAAAGTGTTAACATGAATTCTCTAAATCAGTTAAATTCGTATTCAACTTTAATATATATATACTTATCTCTTTCAAATACGAGTACATGATTGAATAAAACATTTGGGTTCAAGGACAAGTCTAAAAATATTTTATCTATTTGTATTTTAAATCAAGATAATTGAGGTGTCCGCGACGTTCGATTTTAAAAATATAATTTAATTATCTAATATATCGTTTTGTGTAATTATTTATGCTTACATTAATTTCATTAGTATAATCGTTCTTTCATTTTTTATATTTATTTTGGAAATTACCGAATATATCTCTTGAGAGATAATAATATCCGTATAATATGTATCTGTGTGTGTATTTTTATTTTATATAAATATATATATGTATATGTACACAACGCATATATACTATATTTTCATAGCGTTACGTCAGTGATGATAAACTAATTAATCAATGATAATAATAATCGATATCGCATGTGTCGAGACAATTAATAACGTCTCAATCAATTCTTTATTTACGTTTCGTTATATCAAACCCAACCAACTGGAAATGATTTTTTCTTTTTTCTTCTTTTCTTTTAATTTCCTTTTCTCGCGTCTCGAATTCGAAATTTGCGTTTAATTTATTTCGCTCGTAAGTTTCGTGATATGCGTACTTTTTTTTATATCCTTACGTAAAAATTATCCATCCGTTCTAATCTATGTTGTACGTAAGTTTCCAAAAAAAAAAGAGAGAGAGAGAGAGAGAGAAAGAAAGAAATGAAATATAAACGTAACGAGAACAATAATTCATTTTTTGATCGGTAAATATGAAAAAAAAAAAAAGGAAATTTTATTTCAAAGTTTATCGAATCACGTGGGCGGGGTTAAAAGGCTTGGCTTAACGTAAAAACAATTTTATCACATTTATTTGTTTACTTTTTTTTTTTAATCAAACTCGCACATTCTTCGAGAACAAAAATTTAAAGTTTTCTTTTTTTTTTCGACATAAATTTGACGATCTTTTAAATGAATCATTTGCAAGTAATTTTTTTTGTTTTCTTTCCCTTTAAACAATTTTAATATAAAAGAAAAGAGATGTATGCTAACAAAAAAAGAAAGAGAGAGAAGAAGAAGAAGGGGAAAAAAAAATTCCATTTACGAGAAATTTATTCGTAAATATTGCAAATACGTGACATTCGTTTATTCCTTTTATAAGAAAATTTGTGAAGAAAACAGATAAATTCTCGTTACTTGAGATGCTAGAATTCTGTATTTAACATCTTATATCTCGGTAATAGATACGTGATATCGTAAACACGCGTCATTTTCACCGAAACAACACAAAACATGATTATTACTACGTACTTATATATTTAAAGTTAAACTTTGGGAATATTTCATTCGAATATCGAATTTTTAAACATTTTTACGTATATAAGTATATTTATTTCTGCAAATAAAGAAATATTTGTAATATAAGGATAATTGTTTAAAACAAAACAAAATTAAAGAATATTTTTTTGTAAAGAAACAAAAAATTAAGTTCGTCTGAAAAGGAAATGATTTTTATTGAAAATTGTTACGCGTATCTTTTGCTTTTTTCCAAGATTTAAATTTAAAAAAAAAATAAAATAAAATCGGCATTCACTCGAACAAAATTATTTTAATGTTTTTTATTTTTTTTTTTAATTTAACCTAACGAATTAGTAACGTAACCAAATGTGATTACGTTGCTTTGTTTTTTTTTTGTTTATATTGCAATAATATTCGCGAAAATGATTTATCAAATATTACGATTGACAGAAACAAAATGATACACCCGGTATATAAAGAAAAAGGGAGAGTAAAAATATACTCGATGATAAACCGACAATACGATACGATACGATTAGTATTATTATTATTACTATTATTAATATTATTATTGTTATTATATTAACGTATAAATCTTAAGAAGAGCATTAACCTTATCCGCATAAATGAATAAGCACGACGATGAGGTTACGTGTTATAAGACATGTGTTGTTCCGAAGTAGTAAGGAAAAAGTATGAGAATATAAGTTGAATGATTCACAGATGATACTCTAACTCTCATAGTTTGTATTGCTTTTAACTAATTAAGAAGAGGAAAGAAAGAAAGAAAGAAAGAAAGAAAGAAAGAAAGAAAGAACAGAAAGATGAGTGTAGAAAGTAGAAGGAAAAACCATAAGTTTCTTCTTCTTATCTCAAAATTAGTCATTCGAATTAAAAAAAAAATATTGCTTTAATTTATTTACTTTTTATATGTCGTCATTTGAAAATCATACGCGCGTTTTGTTTAATATTATGTTAATAATATTATTATTCTTTTATATATTTTTTGAGAATATTTTTTATATTTAATTATTATATATTACCGTTATATATATTTATTAATTATTATTAAGATTTTTTATCGTGTGTTGACCCAATTTTTCAGATTTCATCAAGAATTTATGATTTAGATCGTTTTGAAGTTAATTATTTTACTTTCCAAACTCACGTATCCGAGTTATAATCAATCTTTGACATAGGTTAGATCGTAAAGTCGTTTGATTTTAATTCCCTTTATCCACGTGGTTCCGTTATTCTTACAACAGCAGTAACCAAACGAGTAAGTTTCTCTTTTGATATTACAAAAAAAGATTTCAATGCACCGTTCGTTCGGTCACGAACAGTTTTATATTTTCTCCTATCTAAAGCACGAAAAGATCAATCGAAAGAGAAACTTTTATGTAATTAGTTTTGTTTGTATTTTTTTTCTTTTTTTTTTTTATTTAAATTATCTAATCGAATTTTCGTATTATTTGAAAAGCGATTAGAAAATGTAAAATATTTTTACGAATTATTTTATAATATCAAATTGACTATATATAATAAATCATAAAATTCATTAATTCCAATTTGTTGACTCAGTAAATTGTCATAATTACCTACAGAAGTAACGTCGGAATTTTTAATAACGTAACATCTAAACAAAAAATTGCAACACTTGATCGACGTGACCGAATACCTATCTGTATAGAACGATATAATAAACTTGGGAACAATTCTCCGAACAAAAACAAATACTATTTATACGTTCGAAATATATAAAATAAAATAAATATATAGAAAAACAAACGAGTAGATAAATAATGAAGAATACCTGGAAACGGAATCCGGTACAAATATATTCCACCAAGAAGGTCTCTTCTGTCTGGTTTGAGTATAAAGTGCTTCAGCACTGGCAACTTGTTCCAATGGTGCAGCACCAACAACAGCCTTTTTCCTTTTCCTTTCAGATTTGGATGGTTTATTAGCAAGTGGATGCCATGACTTTCTTCTACCTTTTTTCGCTTCAATCCTGGCAGCTCTTTCCTCTTCCTCGTTTTCGAGAACATCCCGTTTTTCTTCAAGAAGATCATCAGTTACGTAAAAAACCGATCCCCTTCTATTGGCGCCACCGTCGCTACTTCTTCTTTTATCCTTACCGTAAACGATTTTCAATTGTTTAGCATTTTCCTTTTCGTCGAATGTACTTGCACGACGTGCCCTTTGCCAGAGACTGTCCCTACGTGCTTTTAAATCTTCGAGTACACTGTACCTTCTACCTTTAGCAGCTGAGGCACTACTTGCTGTAGTACTATCTCTCAAGATGGCCGCCGATTTACCACCACCGGTAAATCGTTCAGCTGTTATTCTTTCAAAAGAATGTTCGTTCTCTTCATCCATCGTCGATGGTATTGAATTCGTTGACGCGTATTTCATCGTTGTTGTTAATAATTGTTGTTTACCGTTTCTATCCAAATTAAAATGTTTCTCTTCTAATTCGTCTTTTATGTACATCTCGGTTTCCATACTACGGTGTACTCTATCGAAATAAGAGAACTAATCACAACTAAACTAATTTATATTAATATACTTTCTGTATATATATATATCTATATGGATAGAACAACATGAATACAATAATATCACAACAATCGTCTTTCGATATCTTTATCCTTGTCTATCCAATCTTTCGTTTTCTTTTCTCTATAAAAAATATTTTTATTATATAGTATATTTAACTTCTTTTTGACTAACAAAAAAAGTTAACAACTCGTCAATTCTAAACGGAAGAACGTTATCATTTCTTTTTTCTCTCTTTCTACCGTGTGTTCACGAGAGACCGTTAACGTGCCGTCACGATCAGCGGGGGAGCAAGAAAAAGAAAGAGAGAGAAAGACAGAGAGAGAGAGAGAGAGAGAGAGAGAGAGAGAAAGATATATATATATATATATATATATATTTATATATATAAATATATATATATATAGAAGGAATACTCGGTGAAAGCGGCACGACCGCCTTTTCACTCTGAACTAACTCGTCTTCCTCTTCTTCCTCTTCTTCTTCTTCTTCTTTACTTCGTCTTGTTGAACCAATCGTCTTCCTCTATTTAACTATCTTCTTCTGAAATAGTAATCTTGTATTATTTTCTTCTTATTCTTATTCTTATTCTTATTCTTCGTTCGCGATGTATTAAAACCAACGATCTTCAATCAACGTTGTCCCCATAATTGATCCCTTCCGCATAGTTATTGTCAATACACACAAAACAAAGTAGTAATAATAATAATAATAATAATAATAATAATAATAATATTCCTTCTGTTTAGCACGCGCGAAATCTCCCTCTCTCTCCCTTTTTCGCACGGTACACCGAGAGAGGGGAGGGAGAAAACTTATTCGTAAACGTAGACACACGAACAACGAGAAGATTTTTTTTTCTTATATTTTGCAACGTTTAAAATGAGCGAAAAAAGAAAAAGTTAAACAAGTATATAAAAGTGGTTTAAATTGACAAATAAGTTATAAATAAAAATGGCGGCTGTTAAAAAATTCAGCCCTCACCCGCGGAGGGTTGAACGCACGAACGCTTCCGGTTTTCACTCATGGCTTTTCTCGAAGTTACTTGAAACAACTCTCTCTCCCTCTCTCTCTTTCTCTCTCTTTCTCTTTCTTTCTTTCTGTCTGTTTCTTTTTATCTCTCTCTCTCTATCTTTCTCTCTCTCTCTCTCTCTCTGTCTTTTTCTCGAAACGAAACGGAGCCCTGCTTTCTTCGAGGAGACACACTTTCGCGTAGGATGAATTTAACGTAATAATGTTTTTTTCTTTTTCTTCTTCTTCTTCTGTTTTATTTTTTTTTGCTTAATTTTCTTACCAATAATTATTAAAAAAATGCACGTAAGTTGTTCCAGTCGGATACGATTTTAATTTAATTACTTCTGTTTGTTTTCTTTTTCTTCTTTCTTCCTTCCTTCCTTCCTTCCTTCCTTTCTTTCTTTCTCTATTTAATTTTCTCGCGACGTATATACATATATATATATACACACACACACATAAACGTATATATATACATATTTAGAAAGAGGAAGAGTGTTGCGTTTGTAATTTTTACGACGTGAAATGAAATTTTCTATGAAATTGTTTAAACCATTTCTTTTTAATAGTTGTTGTTTAATTATTTTCTCGCGCACGATCGAAATAAAATTACGAATTACGAATATACTTTTTTGTATTATGCGGGTAAACCTCTTTTCTTTTCTTTTTATTTTCCCTCCCTCCCGTTACCGTTTTAAATATCGAGCATTGAGGGAAAATGAGAGAAAAAAAAAAACAAAAACGGACGTCACGAGAATCGAGTATCGCGAAGACTAAACTCGCGAGAAAGAAACCTCTCGTATTTATACGGCTCGAAGAGAACGAGCAAACTGTCTTTCGTTCGCGTCCTCATCGCTTCGAGTTCCCTCCCCCTCTGATCCTCCTCCTCCTCCCTCTCTATCCTCCCCCCTCCCCAGCCCCCTTCTTCCCCACCACACTCACCCATATTCTACTCACCGTCTCTACATCCCACCACTACTATCAACCAACCGCACGCCACTGCGATGATCACTGCCAGTAAACTGCAAGAGTGAGTGAGTGAATATATATGTATGTTATGTATATATGTATTGTATGTTATGTGTGTTGTGTATGAAAGATAGAGAGAGAGAGTGTACGGGAGACTGCACTGTTGCCAATGTTCGGCCCTTTACGAGACTGATTGTACGGAAAGAAGGTACCGTAAGTATATATATATGGGGGTTATTAAATATTATAAATAATATATGCGTGTATGTTGGGGGTATGCGTTAGAAATTTATTCAAAGCAAATTTCTTTTTTTTTTTTATCTTCTTTGGGTGAGGGAGTTTTGTTTAGTTAATGTACGATATTGGTTAGATCTGATATTCGATTTAAATGAAAAATAAATATATATATATATATATAAATAAACATATATATTATCTATTATATATAAAATATATTAAATATTGTTTTATATTAATCAAGTATCGAAGACGAGNTTTATATATTTTTATATTAAAATATTATTATTATTTATTTTTGATAAAAATTAAAAATAGATAGAAAATGAACGAAATCTTATGGTAGATGTATGTATATGCAAACGTATACGTTGTTAAAGTATATGTGGATGGATTTATCGAGAAGTACATTTTTTTGTTTGGTTTTGTTTAGTAATGCGCAATGTTATTACATTTGTTATTTGAATTTAATCAAATTATCTATTCGCATTAATCGTAAAATCTCAGGTTTTATCTTTTTTTTTTTGATGAATAAAATAATGAAAAAAAAGAAAAAAAAAAGAAAAAAAGAACGAATTCTTATAAATAAACATGATTGATTCTTTTTTTATCTAATTAAATAATAAATTCGATTAAATGTTATCGTTATATAGAAAATTTCTATTTGTAATTATTAATCGATGATAGATTAGAATGATTATTTCACGAACGAAGTAATGAATACTTTTTCTCGATAAATAGATTCTTATCTCATTGACAGATGGATCTGATAAATATTTAACATCGATAATCAAAATCGAACAAATAAAACAACTTATACGATCGAAATTGTTAAATTAAATTTTATTTCGATTCGTGATTTTGCAATTAAAAAAAAAAAAACAAAAATTAAAGCAATGTTCCATTACTTTTATATTACGATATCTAGAAAATAATCTCAATATAAATATTTTCCAAAATAGTATGAATTATCTAAATACGTGAGTGCAAGTACACTTTTATCTACAATATAAGAACAAAAAAAAAAGAAAAAGAAAAGAAAGAAATCTTTTGATCGAAGTTCAAAACTTTTCAACCCGCTCTCGTATATATTGCGATTAATTATTTTTATTAAAAAAAAAAAAAAAAAAATAACGAATAATTTTAGTATTTAATTAACATCGTGCGTTCATTTAAAAACACAAACAAACAAATTTAATTCGTTGTATTTTACAAATATCATGACTATAATCCCATGCGTATAAAAATTGATTGACATCGTGCGTTTCGTTCGATGAAAAAATAGTAATTAAATAAAAAACAAAAAAGAAACAAAAAAGAAAAACAAATTCCATGCACATCAAAAAGACGCATATGGCAAATGGTATTATAACCCGTAAACATTTCAATCTATTTTAAAAGGATAATCTCTTGTCGTGTCTTCTCGTTAGAAGAAGAATATACGTCAAAGTTGTTTGGCCAATTTTTTATCTAGTATTTTTTTCTTCCCTTCCCTTCCCTTCCCATCCCATCCAATCCCATCCCTTACTTTCTTTTTTTCCTTCTTTTTATTTTCTATTTTTATTCTTCAAATGTTAATATATATAACGGACAAACAAATATGTTTTTCTCCATTTGCAATATCTTATAGTCGATGTTTACAAATATGAAGATGAAGAAGACGATGATGATGATGATGATGATGATTATGATGATGAATAAGAAGAATAAGAATAAGAAGAGAACGCGGAACAACGTTCGCATTAGATTGGTGGTTCTTTAACATCACATGATAAGGTATTTGCATTATGTAAAGGAGATTTACGAGATGCCATAAAGTTTCTCTCTAAACCCTCCCCCCACCACCTCTCTCCACCTCTGCCCCCTTTCTCTGTCTCTCTCTCTTTTTCTTTGATGTAAATGTGAATGTGAACGTGAACGTGAACGTGAACGTAAATGCGAATATGAATGTACAAAAATTTCATTAGTAGGTAATATTATCACTCGTTTCTCGTTTAAATAAATATTTTACTCTTCTTATTATTCGTTATCGTCGTGTTCATCATCGAAGACGATGATACCAATGATTCCGCGTATCTCGAAAACTTGTTGATATCTCTCATTGATAATACCGATAAACCGTGTGTCAAGAGGAATCCTCGGATCTTCTTCTTCTTCATTCTCTTATTTTTATTTTTCTCTCTGTCTCTCTGTCTCTCTTTCTTTTTTTCTTTTACGTTATTACGCTAGTAACAGATTAGTTTTTAAACGAAACTGTAAATAAATGAGCAACAAGAAAGTTTTCCAGTACGTTGTTGTCCTTGTCGTTGTTTTATTAGACGAAGATTAATGATTCAAAAATGAAAACAAATCATAAGATGAAAATTAATAACAAATTAATGATGAATTGCATTTGAAAATTATTATTACGTATATTTTTGTTTGTTCGTTCGTTTTTTTTTTATTATTATTGTTATTACCGTTCGGGAGGAGGAGGAGGATGAGTAAAGGGGAATCCCCTAATTCTCAATTCGTTTAAACATGAAAGCAATTTGTAGAAATGTCGTATTGTATGGGGGAGGGGGGGGGGGAATTTCCAACAATTCTTAAACCAGTGCTTGCAGGAATTCCGTGCTCGATAGGAGTTACCTGTGTGTATATATATATATTTATATATGTGTTTGGGTTATACACACCACGCTAAATCGTAAGGGTCAAGTCAAACGTTGACCCCTTTTATCTCTTAAAATAGTTGGTTCTTTTTTTTTCTTTTTTATTTATTTATTCTTAATCAAATCATTAAGATTTTTACGTCAAATGAAGATTAGCGAGATTTCAATTTTCTTGGATATTTTATTTAATTATAAGTTTAACCAATTAATTTTATACACCGCGTACGATCGTAATTTAAAAAAGGAAAACAAAAAAAAATTACTAAACAAGAAATGAAATTTTATAAGGTTAAGCATGGTAAAACGAAAAATAACGTGGAATATTATTGGAATTTTCAGAAACGATGCGGGGAAATGAAGTTTTAAAAATATTAGGAAAAAAATACAATATATTAAGACAGATGTCTGGTAGGTGTCTTATAATTTTATAGTCATTTCATAAACAAAAATTTTCTCTCGTGGGAAGAAAATTGTATTATTTCCAGGGTTCGAAACTTTTCAATCCACCCCCCTACGTGCGTGTTGTTTTTTTTCTCTCTTCTTTTTATTGTATATAATGAAATATTTATTTGTATATATACTTCATTTGAGAAAAACCACGCAAAATTGTTATCTATAAAGTCATTCAAAATTCTAATAACCATACATAAACACACACACATATATATATATATATACAAAAAAAAAAATCTATAAATTATGCAACGTAGTAGAAGAGTTACATTAACGCATAGTTTGATGCATCATCATCATCGTCGTCGTCTGGCTGGTAAACCGCAACGATGACAATTTTTACATTGAAAAAAAAGAAGAAAAAAAAATACATTCCATTTTTTTCTTCCTTCCTCCATTCCTACCATTTTCTACCTTTTCCTTCCTACCTTCCCTATACCTTCCATCTTTCTTTTTGTCACTTTCTTTCTTTCTTGCACGTGTGTTTTGTTGCGTCGCGACGCCAGTCGACCTTAACCCGATTTTTTTCTTTAAACAGCGAACTTCAAACCCTTCCCCTCTCTCTCCCATTCCTCTACCACCTCCTATACATCACCATCATCCACCCCCACCTTCAACACAGTCGACACTTCTTATACTTTTTTCTCCCCCCCCTCTCTCTTCTCTTTCTTTCTTCTTTTATTTCTTCTTTTTCTATTTTTCTTCTTTTTGTTTTTTTTTTTGGTTCACCTTCACGTCTGTGCAACCGAAGTGCAACTTATCCCCCAACGCAAATGTCACGACGCGTCTGTTTCTTTTCTCTCATTTTACATTACTATCATATTTTTCTCCTTTTAAACATTTCAAAGGGACGTCTTTATTTTTTCCTTCTTTCTCCTTTCAATGTCGTTCCTTCTATTCTTCTTTCTTCTTATTTGATTATTTTTTCTCTATCTTTATTATCATCATTCGTTATTTTATCGTTGATATAGTAATACGTGAAAAGAAAAGTATTTAAATAAATATTCCTTTTTTTTGTTGTTTTTGTACACGAGAACGTATTGCAAAAATGTTATATCGAGCTATTTTTTAATTATTATTATTATTATTATTAGTATTATTC